GGGACACGGGATGAATTCCAGAAGGGACTGGCTGGTAGTGCAGAACCCTTCAGGAAACTGCTGAGAAGCGTCGAAGACGGACAGGTAGACGTACAAGCAGCAGGGGACAGGGCGATTTAAGGGTGGGAGTCCATCCTGAACGCAACGGCAGAGAGAGTAGTGGGAAAGAAGGTGATACGATGTGGGGTATCGGTTTAAGTGATGGGATGACGAGCTGAAAGAAATAGGGGAACGTAGAGAAGTCTTCAAGCAGTACCTGAGTGAGGCGTCTGAGGAGAGTTGGGAAAAGTACAGGGCTCAGAGAAATCAGGTGAAGGGACTAGTGAAAAAGAAGGAAAAGTGCATTTGGGTCGAAGTAGTGCAAGGCCAACGGAGGCCTGGAGGGGAACGTCAAGCAGATGTGGGAAGGGATGAGTGGAACGGTAAAGAAGACCGCGCAAGGGGCGGATACAGGGGTAGCAACTTTGCGAGGTGTGAACGGTGGACTATACAGCAGTGGGAAGGGAAAAAGGGAAGTTCTAGCAGGACACTACAAGAGACTTGGAGTGCCTTCGGAGATTGATGCTTTTGACAAAATGTTTAAGAAGGAGGTGGACGCATGGGCCCAAAAAGTAGACGAGACATCGAAGGCAGACGTTGGGAACGTAGAACTAGAAAAGGAGTTCACTGAGGACGAGGTTGAGGCGTGTGTGGACAAGCTGCAGTGCCACAAAGAAGCAGGACCGGATGGGATAGTCGACGAGCTCATCAAGTTTGGGGGGAAGGGGATGATCCAGCTGATGATACTGCTGTACAATTGGGTGTGGAAAAACGAGTATACGCCAAGTAGATGGAGGGAAGGAGTGGTTGTGAACTCGTTTAAGTAAGGAGACAAGGCTGGCCCAGGAAACTACAGGGGGATCCACTGTTGAACACAGTGGGAGAATTGGAGAAGGAACATAGCATTAGTGAGGGCCAGGCAGGTTTCCGAAAGAAGGGGTGCGTAGACCACGCATTCACGGTAGGGAGAATCATCCAAGGTAGGAGAGCGGGAAAGCTGACGTACCGCTTCTTCCTGGAGGTGAAAAAGGCATACGACACCGTATGGAGAAATGGGCTGTGGAAACAACTGTCCAAATACGGGATCAAGGGGAAAATGTGGAGAGTGCTTAAGAAGATGACAGAGTGTACGAAAAGCGCGGTCATGTTAGGCGGAGAACTGTCTAAATATTCGACATTGAGCAGGGCGTCCCACAAGGTTGCACGCTGTCCCCAACATTGTTCCAGGTGTTCATCAACGATCTGTTGGAAGTCGTAGAGGCAGTCCGGAAGGGAGTAAAAGTAGGGGACACGGAAACGTCGGTTTCAGGAATGCTGTTTGCGGATGATTTTGTCGGTATGTCGGACACCCCTGAGGGACTGCAACTGCAAATTGACGCGGCGAAGAAGTTNGTAGCTGTACTGGGGCATAGGAGGTGGATTGAAAAGGCGGGAAGGGATACCGTTAGGATAGATAAGACTAGGGAAGACATTTTTGAGCCACCATTGGCAAAGTAGAAAGGAACGATTGGCCATCGGTGATCGGTCCTGTGGGAACAACGCTCCGGCCTCTCGAGGACTCGTGGTCAATGGTCTAACCGCTAAGACATGCAAAACATAAGAGTACGCCCCCCCCCCCCCCCCCCCCCCCCCCCCCCCCCCCCCCCCCCCCCCCCCCCCCCCCCCCCCCCCCCCCCCCCCCCCCCCCCCCCCCCCCCCC